CAAGGAAAAGACCGGGGGAGGTTGGTCAACAGCGGCCTGAAGGTGACACAGATTGTGCCCTGGTGGCCAAGAAGGCCACCAGCATCCTGGCTTGCATCAGCACTAGTGTGGCCAGCAGGAGCAGGGCAGGGATCAACCCCCTGGGTTCTCTTGACCTGGGGAGCCTAGAACTGGATCCTGTACTCCAGAAGTGGCCTCCCTAGGGCAGAGGAGAGGGGCAGGAGAACCTCCCTCGACCTGCTGTCACACTCTTCTTCATGCACCCCAGGAGACCATTGGCCTTGTGGGCCACAAGGGCCCATTGCTGCCTCGTGGTGAACTTGTCCACCAGCACTCCCAGGTCCTTCTCCACGGAGCTGTTTCCCAGCAGGTCACCCCTCCCCTGTCCTGGTCCTCTCTTCGTAGGTAGGAGATAACAGCCCAGTACATTAGAGCTGCTCGCAGAACTTCCACAGGGATGCTCTAGCTGCAAAATATTCTTTCCTTCCTTCAGAAACGAGTCATTCCTCTGATATTTCTACAGTTCAGGACTGGGTCAGCCCTTGGAGGTCATCTGGCCTCATGGGAGCTGTGGCTGTTGCACCTCCTGTTCTCCTTTCCCCTGCATGTCCTTTGTGACAGGCTTTGACCCACCACAGCAGAACATAAAGCAGGCTATGAGGTGTGATGAGACCTGTCCAGACAGGGAACATCTCCCATAGTAAGGAATGAAGATATGGCCACTGCCCTACAAACCCCATGGCCACTTAATGAAAAGAGAAGGAAAATCTTTAGTCTTCTAACCCAAAACTACATTTTTTTTTAAACTAGAAGAAGTGTAAATCCCCATTTCTTTCCTGCTAAGCTTCACCTGGCTGAGCTCAGCTCTGAGCAGCTCTCCTTAAGCAGACAGGGTTCTGTGAGAGGCTCAAAACCATTTCAATGGCCCCAATGTGGCAACAGCTACACCCATCTCCTGTGGCACATGTGGAATTTGTCTTCGGAAGGTCTCCAGCCCTGCTGGTGCCTCGGTGGTCAAAGGGCTGAGACACTGACAGGGCTCTTGGCTGGTGCCCACAGCCCCAGCACACCATTCCTGATGTTTTCATCTGGATGATGAGCAACAACAAGCGCATCGCCTACGCCCGCGTCCCCTCCAAGGACATCCTCTACTCCATCGTGGATGAGGAGATGGGCAAGGACTGCGCCAAGGTGAAGACCATCTTCCTCAAGGTACTGATCTTTCCTGGGGGGGAACACAGCCAAGAGGAGGGAGATGGAGGAAGGATGGACTGGGAGGGTGGGAGATCAAGATGGTGGAGCTGCGTGTTCGGTTTTGTTGGTGGTTGAATACCAGGCAAAACAGGCCCTCTGGTAGGGGTGGGAGTGCTGCTAGGAAGTGTGAACCAATCATCTTACCCAGTCCAGTGAGGGAGGAATATTTGGAAGGAGAGAGGTGTTTGATCCAGATGGCCATGAAAGAGGAGGTTGGCTTGGAAAGAGGAAGCCAGCATGGTAGGTAGAAGACAACATATAAGCCAGAGTAGTGGCATGATCCCAACTGGTGAGGGCTGGGTCCTTGTTTTTAAGGGGCAAGTGATGCACCAGAAGGAGTTGAGTGTTGCAAGAGGTGGTCTGTCCACCTCTTGTGGTGGTCTGTAAACTCTCCTGTCCTTTGTGCCCAGCTTCCTGGGAAGAGGGGCTTTGGACCTGCTGGCTGGACAGTTCAGGCCAAGATGGAGATGTACTTGTGGCTGGGCCTCAACAAACAGCGCAAAGACTTCTTGAGTGGGCTGCCATGTGGCTTTGAGGAGAAGAAGACTGCCAGAGGCCAAAACTTGCCATCCTTCCCACCCATCAGCCTCCTTTACACCAGTAAGAGCTTCCTGCCTGCAGTGGGTCTGGGGACAGGGCCTGGAGAGGGCAGGAGGGACCCTGGCTGGACACTACTTGGACCAAGAGCTTCCAGTAGCTGAGGGGAATATAATCCTAGTTGTCCCAGTCTGAGGTCCCCCACTGCTCCCATGGAGGGGGGTGAGAACTGGGCACCCTCTCCCTCATCCCATTCATAGCTGTCCTTCTGCACGTGGTGAGCAGGACATCAAGGAAGTCCAGATCCACTTGGGACTCTTGCTTTGAGCCTCTGTCCTACACCAGTGGTGGCCCTGAGGAAAAGCACGTCCCTGAGACCACCAGGCTCGGGTCTCAAGCTGCCTCCCTTCCCCTCTCTCTTGCAGAGAAGCAGGTTTTCCAGCTGCGAGCCCACATGTACCAAGCCAGGAGTTTGTTTGCAGCTGACAGCAGTGGCCTTTCGGACCCCTTTGCACGAGTCTTCTTCATCTCCCAGAGCCAATGCACCGAGGTAACCACCAGCTCCTCAAACCCAGAGGGTTGGGCTCTGGCACTGCCTGTCCCACCAGCCCCCCATCCTGCTCCCCTCCCACAGGTCTTGGGACTGCTAGTGAATCAAGGATGAGGTTGTTCGTGGGGTCCTGGGGTGGGGAAGCAGCCGCGGCGCTGGGGCTTGAGTGTCTCCAGGAGCTCCCTTCCCAGGAGGACCTTCACAGCATGTTCCTCCCCACCACTGTGAGTCAGAGGCCCAGCTGGGAGAAACTGGAGCATGTTGAAGAGGGTTTTGGGTCTCCCGTTTCCAGGCTGAGGGCTGCCAAGCTTTAGCAAGCCTGGTGGACACTGGAAAAGGTGGAAGGTGTCCCTACCCATGGCAGAGGTGTTAGAACTAGATGGTCTTTAAGATCCCTTCCAACCCAAGCTGTTCTATGATGATTCTGTGATGTAATTTGTGTCTACCTGCCTGCTGTTGGCTTTCTTTTCTCAGAAGAGTCCTTGGGAGGTAGCCTATGACTCGCTGGTCCAAAACCATGTGCAGCAGCCCAGTAGTGCTGCCAAGCAGCTGAGACCAGTGCCTGGTCTCCTGCCCTTGCACTCTGGAGCAGTAAGTCCTTCTCCCGTTCTTCCAGGTTCTCAATGAGACCCTTTGCCCCACCTGGGACCAGCTGCTGGTCTTTGACAACGTGGAGCTGTACGGAGAAGCCCATGAGATGCGAGATGACCCTCCCATAATTGTCATTGAGATCTACGACCAGGACACCGTGGTAAGATGAATCCCAGCAAAGGAAAAGGTTTGTGGTTTAGAGGCTGTGATCACTCCTGAGTCACAGGCCAGGCAGATGGTGCAGAGGGTGTGAGAAGCAGCTTCTCTCTAGACCCTTGGAAGATGGTCCCACCCCCCATCTCCCATGGCATGAACAAGCCTCTGCTGCTCATTAGACCTTAGTCTCAACCTAATAATGTCTCATTTTTGGAGAGTGCAGCAAGAGCTGTTGAGAGGCTGGAGGCAAGGAGACATTGCCTGAGTCTTTAGAAGAGTTTCTCAGCCCTGGTCTCCTTGCTGTCCCAGCCCTAGGCCACCTCCTTCACCATCTTTGGAGAAGCCAAGAGTGAAAGCTGTCACTGAGCTTTGGTGTCACAGGTTGAGTGGGTTGGTCTGTCCCAACCAGGATGGGGAGATCCATGGGACTAACCTGGGAGCCCTCACCCTGGCTCAGCAAACCCAAGTGCTCCCTTCCATCTCTCCAGGGCAAAGCTGACTTCATGGGCCGCACCTTTGCCAAGCCAGTGGTGAAGATGTCAGACGAGCACTACTGCCCCCCACGCTTCCCCCCACAGCTGGAGTACTACCAGATCTACCGGGGCAACTCCACAGCAGGTGACCTGCTGGCTGCCTTCGAGCTGCTCCAGGTACCAGCTGGCCAAAGCCACCCCTGAGCGAGGCAGGGAATGGATGGGCTGGAGGGGTGCAAGGGAGCAGGACCTAATCCATGCTTAGATGTCTCAGGTGCTACAAGGAGAAGGTAGTTGACACATCCTAGAAAAGCTGGAAGGGTTTAGCAGAGCTGCCAACCCCATGAGAGGGAAGCTCCTGCCCAGTTATGCTGGTCAAGATGATGGGCAGTGGGTCCCAGACATCCTGTTGGACGGGACACCCCCCTAAAGTGTCACATTAGCCCAAATTCTGCGTCGTCACTGGGACATGGGGGATGCCAATGGGAGCCCTGGGGTTCTTGGAGATGCCAGTTTGAAGGTCTCAAGATAAAGAGCTGTGAATTCATAGCAGCATCCCAAGAATATGGTGAAATTTTAGCCTCATAGTCTGTGGGGGTAGCAGAGTTAAACTCTCCTGCTTTCATGTGTCCTTTCACAGAACGGTGGGGGTTGGGAGGGACCTCTGGGGATCATCCCATCCCACCCCTGCTCCAGCAGCTCACCCACAGCAGGGTGCCCAGGGGCACAGCCAGGAGGGTTTGGGATCTCTCCAGAGCAGGAGACTCCACAGCCTCTCTGGGCAGCCTGGGCCAGGCTCTGCCACCCTCCCAGCAGAGAAGTTTCTCCTCCTGCTCAGGTGGCACCTCCTGGGTTCCAGTTGGTGCCCGTTGCCCCTTGTCCTGTCACTGGGCACCACTGAGCAGAGTCTGGCCCCAGCCTCTTGCCCCCCGGGGCCCTTTAGCTCTTGCTCAGCACTGCTCAGATCCCCTCTGAGGCTTCTCTGCTCCAGCTCAGCAGCCCCAGGGCTCTCAGCCTGGCCTGGCACAGAGATGCTCCAGCCCCTCAGCAGCTTCCCAGCCTCTGCTGGACTCTCTCCAGTAGCTCCTGGTCTCTCTTGACCTAAAACCTGCTCCTGGGCTGAGCTCTGGGACCATTTCTACCTCTCTTCCCACACAGATGCAGCTCACAGGAGGGGAAGGAACAGCTTTGGGGTTAGGGTACATGGGTGGGTTGAGAAGTTGGCTTTGCTGCTGAGTTGGTTCTGTGTGGAAACAGAGCACTGCCCAGCACCTTCTGCTCTGTGACCAGCACCGTATGGTCAGCTGGATGCTCAGCAACTTTCATTGCTCCTGCACCCTCTGAGACAACACGGACCCAAAACATGAGAGCCGAGACTGCCAAAAAAATGGAAGTGCCACTTCAGAGGGACAGGTCCTAATCCATGCTCCATCTCTTCCAGATTGGTCCTGGGGGCAAGTCAGACCTGCCCCCAATCGATGGCCCCACAGACATGGACCGAGGCCCCATCCTGCCCGTGCCACTGGGGATTCGGCCGGTGCTGAGTAAATACAGAGTGGAGGTAATGGCCTTGGAGCACTGAACGTCCATGTTCAGCATCCTGTGGGGCAGGAGCCTGTCCAGGGGTGTTTGAAGGCCAGGAGGGGTCTCTGAGGCTCTGATGGGGACCAAGACCACGTGTCTGCACTGTATGGATCTGTCTGCACTGCAGCAGCCCTGAAAGACCAGGGAACTGGCTCACTCCTTCATGTCTTCACCGTGGGCACCATGGCAAGGAGATGGCACGTGGGTTGTACATCTCCATCCAAAGCAGTCCCGTAGGTTGGGTGAGCTGCACCCCAGCAATCTCAGGAATTCAGGGTGGGATGTCTCTCATGGATCTGTAGATGTCTAAAGGGTGATGCATCCAATGGGGTTCCCTCTGCTTTGGTTGTCTTGGTGGTGATCCAGGCAATAGAGCCAGTGATGTTCAGTGCACAGTGCCCCACAGCTATAGGTCCCTTTGCTGCCAACCAGATCTCCAGGTCTCTGAAGGGAACCTAGATCATCTGGACATTTGCATCTGGTCAAATAAATTGTATTCCTCTTGTGTGCGAGGTGAATACAGCCATGGGGAGCCAGGGGGTGGAGAAACATTTAGGGGATCTGGTGGTGGTGGTGGTGGTGGTCTGCTCTCCCTGGAAAGGAGAGACAAATTTCCCCAGTGACACTGATATTATTCTGAGAAAATGATGCCAGCTCTGAATCCAGAGCCACTGTGGATGGATGAAGCCATCGTGGTCCTGCTCCATGGAATCCCATGGCAGAAAAAGGCTGGAAAGGGAGAAAGACAGAAAAGGGAAAGTCGAGGGCAGCAGGTTGGAGATCTCAGGCTGCTGCAGATGAGGTGTGGGGTGGATTATGTGGGGTGTCAGAGAGAGATGGTGCTGCAGCCCTGAACTCTGTGGAGGTGAAGATACCTCAAGGATCCATCACTACTTGGGCAACAACATTTGCAGCAGGGTCCCTGCTCCTGGGGGATATGGAAAACCAACTGCTTTGACTCCAGCCAGGAGCTGTCCCCCTTTTACACGTGTTCTTCCTTCTCCTCCTCCTGCTCCAGGTCTTGTTTTGGGGGCTGAGGGATCTGAAGAGAGTGAACCTGGCCCAGGTGGACCGGCCCCGTGTGGACATCGAGTGTGCTGGGAAGGGGGTCCAGTCAGCTCTCATCCAGAACTACAAGAAAAACCCCAACTTCAGCACTTTGGTGAAGTGGTTTGAAGTGGTGAGTGTTTCCTCTTCCCCTTGAGCCCTCAGCTGAAACACAGATTTTTCTGGAGCCCAAACCGTGGATCCTCAGCCCCTCACCTCAGTTTCCCCACAACGATGGAGAACATGAGGATCCCAGTTGATGATGGTTGGACTTGATGATCTTGGAGGACTCTTCCAACCTGTTGTGGTTTGAGGCTTGGAATGGGGGCGTGACCTTCCAGCAACGGGGAGGAGCCCGGGTGGGGGTGAAACCATTGTATTCCCTCCCCTTCCCACACACACTCTGAGAAGAGGCAGGGAGTGGGTGCTAATTTCACTCCTGCCTTGGAGCTCGGAGAGGGAAGTTCTCCTTTCACTCCGTGGGACCTTGGAACCATTTCTGAGGGTTTTGTATATTTTATTTTTTGTATTTTCCCCCTAATCTTTGTATATATTATTTTCCTTACCTCCCTTTTTCGTTTTCTGTTCCTTGTTGAACAATATACTTCATTTTTTTTCCAAAGTCTCTCTCCCTCTCTCGGGGTGGGAGAGGCGCGTACATAGTTCTGTTCCATGTGGGTCCTGCCCTGAAACCCTTTTTACACAGAACCAGGACACAACCTAAAGGATTCCATGATTCTATGTGATGGCCTTTCCCTAAGGGCTCCCAAGCCAGGCTTTGCTGGAGCTGCTCTAGACCTTCTCCTCCATCACCATCTCTGGTTTAGAGTTGTCTACCACCAAAGCAGACAGCCCACACCCAGCCTTGGATAACCAGCACACTTTTGCTTCCCAGGACCTCCCAGAGAACGAGCTGCTCCACCCACCCCTGAACATCCGGGTGGTGGACTGCAGGGCCTTTGGGCGCTACACCCTGGTGGGTTCCCACGCCGTCAGCTCCCTCCGGAAGTTCATCTACCGCCCACCGGACAAGAAAGCCCAGCACTGGAATATGACAGGTACTGGCCTTGGGCCACGGGGACCTGGCTGGCGTGGGGCAACCGAGGGGCATGGCTTGCTCGTTGGTGAAGCCAGCAGTGCTTCAGGGGTGAGGTGGCACGGGGTGAGGCCGTGAGTCTCCTTGGATTTGGGGATCTGGGGGTATAGCTGTGATAACTGTGTGCTCTCCCTGATACCTGTAAGACAAGAAAGGCTGGTTCACCTCCAACATCTCTGCAGCTTCATGACTCTACACTCCCTGCGTTCCTCAAGGCTGGGAGATGAATTTTCTGTGGTCTGTGCTTGCTGCTGTTATTTGAGTAAAGACTAGAAAGTTAGACTGAGGCTAGGGGCGGCCACGTGCTCAGTCCCAACCACCACCCCATCTCTGAGCACTTGGAAAATTCCCCACAGCAAAAAACTACCAGAAACCCTCTTTGCCTGCACCCAGCACAGCAGCCGAGGGCTTGGGGAGCCTTGGGAATTGCTCATCTCCTCCCAGTCCTTGGTAGAAGTGGAGACACTCTTGGCTGGGCAGAGACAGGAGGTCTGGGAGGGGATTGTCAAGGGCTATATCTGGTTCCAGCCAGAGGTCTGGAGCTGTGGTTGTGCCCATTCCAGAGGACACTTCTAGCACAAACATCTTCTCTGCCCCTTCCACTGTGGACATTGGTGCAGGTGAAAAGCCTCAATCCTTTTTCATCATCTGCTTTCCTCTGCTGTGGAAGGGGTTTTAATTGTGCTTTAAGGGTCTCTGCTCATTTCCTCTGCTCTTCTTCTCTGAACAAGTCACCACTCCTTCATGAATCCTGCAGGATCTCACCTGAGTTCTCAGTTTCTCCTCTATACTCTCCTTTTCTCTTGTTCTTTCTCTCTCTCTGCCCTCTGTCCAGCTAAACACCTCAACGGCTATCTGGCAATGGCCAATGGGACCCGTCGCTCTCGCCCCACAGGGGAGATCGTTGTCAATATGGAACCTGAGGTTCCCATCAAGAAGATGGAGACGATGGTGAAGCTGGAAGCTGTGAGTATCTGTATGTCAGCACCTCTTCAGCATCTCTTTCCTCACTGAATTGCTACTCTTTCCACCCAAATAGAT